TGTCCTAGAAGATCTACCTACTCGCTATCCTCATGCCTCGCTCCCTATCAAAACTTCTGTCTTTTATATTTGACTCCTCTATAGGCGTGCCTCTTCTTGGCGAGTTTATTTGAGAGCTACCATATGCGCTTGGTTACCTAGACCTCCTCGACTTACCGGAATTGGCGACCTGTCTCGGACCTCCGAATCTCCCTCACGGAACTGGAGATTCATTTCTTACCTTACTGATTTATTGATTTGACTAGGTTCTAGTCAAAATGTACATTTTATTTCAGGCGCTATTTCTCATGGTCTGCCATAAACTTTTGACAGCACTTATAATCTGGATTCACCGATAAAAGCGTCCCATATTCGCAAATATCAGGAAGTGTCTCCAAGGGCTATCTTTGATTCAACAAATGCACCATGAGCAAACTGTGAAAACCTGTCTGATCTGCTGAATCTCGAGTATATTCCTAGTCAATTTGACTCGATCTACTAGCCATAATGCCAAATTTCTGTGACGATTGGGATTATCCACCTTCCTGTTTATGTGAGTGCCAGGTCGCTAAAGTTGCGGTTGTTCCTTCGATCAGACTATACTCAATGAAGACGGCTTCTCTTAATTTCCTAATATTCCTCATTCGCTTCATCTTTTCGATTAGTTGACGATAGGTCTTTGATCTAGGCATATCGTTGTTTGCTCCGAGTTTGCCTAAACAGGTTATCGCTAACCTTCCTCTAATCTGCCGCTCAATAAATTCCTTTCAGCAAAGATGTCGATGGCTTTTTAATCTTCCGTTTCCTTGTATTTTCATCACATAAGGTCCTTTTTTGTTACCTTACAATTGATCTCATATCGAATCTCTGCGATATTTTTTGCCATTTCCGATCTTTCGGTAACCATTTTTCTGCAGCAAAATGCAAATAGTGACTATAATCTAGTAAAATTAACCAAACAGACAAAAAAGAAACGAATCTCCGGGCCCATGAGATTCTGAAGTATGAGACAGATCAGTAATTCCGGTAAATCGAAGGGCGCAAGATAAAAAATAGATGTGTTAACGTTCCGATAAACTCACCAAAAGGGGCACACATCTATCTATCTATCTATATATATAAGTCAGAAGTTGTGATAGAAAGGAAGGCATGAGGATAGGGAGTAGGCAGATGTACCAGGACAAGAGCGATAACAACCGTTCAGCAGAAAGTTGGTCAAAGGATTGACTTTACTTGTCTCTTTGATGAGTTGTACCTTGATGATAAGAGTCGCTGACGATGCCGGCGAAGCACCTGATAACGTACCAAGTCTATTTCCAGACGCTGGAACTTAGGACAAGGCAGATTTAACTAGGTTAATCTAACATGTTGCAAAAATGGTCGGACCACTTCTTTCCCCAATTAATAAAATTTTTGGTAGCTCGTTTGTTCAAGATATAATGTGTCTCTGAGTTCAACGAATAAATCAAATAAGAAGTCATATACCTGGCTGAATCTTAAGCAGATCACAAAACAAGGATGGCGAGAGTTCATGAATCATCTTTCACTATCGTTATTTGGAGCACAACCTAAGTTATATCTAAAACTCACTGAGTAAACAGTAAACACTTTATAAATGACTCTCGTGACCCTAAGGGTTAGCTGGCAATAAGTGGAAAATCGTCTTTTTAAGCACACAAACCTCAGGGATAGTGTCAAGTGGCTTGCCAGAGGCATCTCGTTTCAGCTCAATAGTTAGGGTGTTAAGACCTCCGCGGTTGAGGTGTGACTTTAAAAAGTGAACCGAAATGCCTGATGCGTCAGATTCATTGGAAGCATTGTCAGGATCTTGCGAATCTATGGCGATGGAAGTGAGTGCAGAAGCCAAGACTGATGTTCGAGTCTCAGCTTGAGCCTCAGGAGTCGCCTGAGGCAGTCGTCGCAGCGTGAGTTGAGGGCAAGCGTGACGATTGCCATTGAAATGGACTGACTCAACAGGTGGAGGTGGACCGCATGGGGTGCATCGGAGAACTGGAATCTGAGTGGAAAAATAAGTGAACTGCATCTAAGTAGTACAGGACAACAATAGAGAAGTTAAAATAAGCCAAAGTAAATGGCTACGTTTTTATACCAAAGCAATTGAAGACAGTGGTGAAAAGCGCATTGTTGACCCTTCAGCTTGAGCAAAAAATCATAGATTATACTAATATGGAAATGCTGACTACTTTGGCTTCACACGGAAGCTACAGAGCCAATTGATGGATTAAAAATGCTAGAAAATAAGGATGCGAGTACATTTGCAGAGGAATCTGAATGACAATAAACAAGAAGTAATCAGAGCTATTTTCAACCTCGGATTTCGGTACCGTAGTTTCTAAACCGATAAAAAGAGGCGACATCAGTAGTGAGATTCGTGTCAGGTAGGCAGCTGAACTTTTTTTATCACCTCTGATGTACTTTTCGCCAAATCTTTGCTCGAAGAGAAGCGGTAGTAAATGATATGGCCAAATCAGCATTATCGTTATCATCATCCAGTAGATTTAATTTAATGTTGGAGTACCTTTAATTTCGTTTGAAGAGGCGAATGGAAAGGATTTCTAAGTTGGCCTCATAGATAGCTGTAGGAGGGTTAATTTGGGGCTGTGACTGTCGATTTGTATGAATAGGTTCTCGATGCACCGTCCG